ATATAGCATCAGTGCTAGCACAAAGGCTAACAGGCTAAGCTGAGGTTCTTCTTCCAAGAAACATCCTACAGTATTTTTACAGTTAAAATATGTTTATCAAATAAAGTCTAATGTTACAACTAATCATGAATCCCTTTTTTAAATATGCAGGAAATTTCCAAATTTAAATGTTTTTTTTACAAACTTATTGTTCCGAAAACCTAATTTCCTTCAGACGTCTCCTCATGATGAAACTGGATTGTGTTTCAGAAATGACTGAAGGTTGTGTTGCTGTCCTGAGAACATGCAGCAGCCCTCCAGTCTTACAGAGCCTGGAGCTACTGGTTGGTAAAACCACTCGTAGCAAATGAAATCCCAGCAGCTCGCGCTGACTCATCTGTTTGAACATCTAGGTGCGGTGTGTATCAGGTGACGGAGAGATGACTTGGAGCGGCGCTGATCTGACGGAGGAGCTTTATGAAATGACTCGACGTCTGTTTGCGAACTCTCACGTCTGCCTGAGGAGAGACGGCGACGTGCTKCGAACAGAGATCAGACACCAGCCAGGAAACCTTCCTCTGGTTCTGTGTATCGCCATCCGAGGGCTCGCCTCTCTGGCCCACACTTAGAACCTTGTTTTCTAACGCTAAACATGATGAACTTTCTAAAAGTGTTTGTATATATGTTTGTTTTTAAGCTTATGTGATTTTTTTTTTTTTTTAGTCTGCAAAGACTCTTAAACTATAACTAATATGTGTTTGACAGTGAATGCCCCACGAATGATTTTGCACTTCTTAAATTGTCAAAAAAATCTGAGAACTTTGATCAGTTTGTGGCATCAAACATTCCTGCACAGACAGAAGTATGGAAGCTGATCAATCTCACAAWATTTTCATCTGAATTCAGATTCAGCTAATCTTTATGAGGAACACCTTCACCCCCTTTTGTCTTCAGAACAGCTTTTAATAAAGGATCAACAAGATGTTGGAAAGACTCCTCAGATTTGATTTCTGCACCTCCATGAAGTGAGCAGTGTTTAAAGTACCACACAGTGATACTTGAAAGTACAAGTATCTTAACCAAAAAAATTACTTTGGTAAAAGTTTAAGTCTCCTGAGTAAAAGTCTTAAAGTACCTGATATTTGTTGTACTTAAGTATTAAAAGTAAAAGTATTGATTTAAAATGAGCAGTTAGATTTTCTGTAAGGACATTTATTAGGAGGTGACCTCCCCAAAAACTGCAGAAATGACTGTTGTATTAAATTATAGGTACTGCATTAAAATAATTAGTTGATGTTAAATTTAGGATGCACTAGTCCAGCTGTTTCAGTTTATATACATATATCAAGGC